CAATTTTATCATTATTGGGCTACCTCTGCCCTCCCCACTTAATTCACTTAATGAAATGCCGACCCGAGTAGGCCTACCCGGATAATTACATCAGTTCTATTAATAGCTTTCCGCACCTGGTGACAAGCCCCTGCCCCTATATTTTAATAATAATAATAATAGCGTTTTGAAATTGAATATGTATGTACCGGTAGGAGAAAGTAACCGAAATGCGAAATATTAAATAAGGAAAGTTATCGGTATGTTAATAATAATATTTTGTAACCAAGGAACAAATATTATAGGCTACCTACTAATAATAATATAAATTATATCACCATTACTTCAGAAAGTGAATTTAAGAAAGAAAAACTTATGAATATAGGCCTAGATGACGATACCGTTACTTCAGAGAAAGAAGAATCACCTATGCCTATGATTACTAAGAAAAATATAGACGAAGATACCTTTATTTTAGAGAATACTTTAAATGAATATAGACTAATTATAGATAGATGAACATCAAATCAATCATCATTGATGAATTTATAATAATCTTTCACTTTCACTAGTCACTAACATGTGTAAACTGATGTATTTAAAATAAATAAAATGTTATGCACTTAAATTTTAAGTTTTGGCCTAAGAATGAAGTTAAAGATATTTTATACATCATTAATGAATGTAGAATTCTAATAAGTAATTATTATTTTTTGCGCATTATTTTAATGATTTTATTTTAATTTATTGGTTACAGTACAGTAATGTATTTTTTTAAAGCATGAAAATCAAGTTGTCAAATGTGACTTGTTAAATTTTGAGGCCCCCTCAGATGTTGGAGGCCCATTAAGCCTACTTAGCCTATAGAGGGAAACCTGGCACTGCATCATAGTTATTGTATTTGCCATCACCAAGTATCACTTTAGTTGGTTCCTGCACAGTAAATTATCAGTACCGGTACATCTATTTCAGAAACATGTGTAAACTGATGCATTTAAATTTTACATAAATAAAATGTTATAACGTTATTACGAAGAGAGCACATCATTAATCATAAGGCCTAAGTATTTACGGTACTAAAAAAATATATTTATATAGTTATAGATTATTAAATTAGGCTCTATGATCACTCTATCGGATTTAAAAATTCATGTTTATTTGATGAATTTATATGCAATGTAATTTGTGCTGATTATGTGCAGGAAGAAAAGCGAGTGAAGGAAGGCTACTGTTTCTTTCTTCGAAAATAAATTTAAAAAATGATTCATTTTTAAAATTAAAATGTTTCTTGTTTGTTGAATTATATTTGAGTCTTTGTACCGGTATATTTACTAATTATTTAGTTTTTTTCTAGAACATTTACAAGTTTCAACAACGTCAAGTTCCAAAATATTACAGTTGTCTTTTCTCAAGAATTGATGTATGAAATTTTTATAAACTTATTTAGTTATTATAATTGAGTAACATTTCACTTATAATCTAAATAATTAATTTACATAATTAACTTATTCATTCACCACAAATAGCAGGAGTAGTTGTAACTTCAGCATAGTTGTCTCTATTAATCCCTACTCTATTCTCCAAAAAGATCAATAAGACGCAAACAATTGGTGTAAATAAAACAATATAGGATAAGCTTTAATACAGTACCAGTAATGATTACACAGAAAACAAATGCAAACTTTTCGGCAAATGCCTTCATCATTATTAAAAAAAAAAAACATTCATAATTAAAATTATACAATATATATATATGTGTGTGTGTATGTACGTATATATATTTGCAGTAACTATCCCCTGCCAGCGGTGCCATAGATTATTCTGAGCACGGATCGGCCTAGAAAGCCACCTACAAGCTCACCATAACCCACCCTCCCCCTAACCCGATGGTCCTAGTCGATTTTGACGGACGAACAATATGTGTATATATATGTATATATATATATATATTATATTACATATATATACATCAATACACACATACAGTATATTTATATTTACTAAGGTAAAGAAGAATATTCATATGCCTAGGCTTAATTTTTGGGATGGAAATGAAACAGGTAGAGAGGAGAAATCAACGTTTAAATAATTATAAAAACAAATTAATATGTTTTGGAAATAAGGTAAATAGCTATTATTTTATTTATGTTTTCAAACTAACACAACTAATAATTAAGTACCCATAATTCTAAAGGCCACAGAGAGAGAAAGATTAAGCTAAGAAAAAATTTAAAAGGTCTCCCTGATGTTTATGTATGCTTAATTATACAGTAGAAATTACCAAGCATTTTATTTTTTCAAATTTTTATGATAGCATTTATGTTAAATAGTAGCAATATAAAAAGAATAAAACATTTCCCACTATATTACTTGGAATTTGTCAATCCAGAAAAATATACATAGGAACCTTTGCTGAGAGTTTGCCCTGAAAATTGGAAAATAATAAATAATACAGGGTTATTTGTATTAAAAACATTTTAAATTTCTAACACCACCGCACTGTGATATTTTAAAAGCTTTTGTCCTTATTCAATTAGTAATTTAACAGTTAATAAAATTACAAATATAAAAATTCCTATTAAAAATGTGCACTTTTACAATCGCTCTCTGGGTTTGTTATATTGATTAATTTTTATATTTCATTTTTGTGAACTTGTTGGTTTTTTTTTTTTCTTTTTTGGGTGTGGGTTTTGGGTGAGAGTGGCATAGGTAATGTCATGTTTTGAGGAATGTTTTGTTTTTTTAATTAAAAAGAGAGCTAGACGGCAACAGTAGACTGGATGAATTTCCTTCATGCATGTAAAAGACTCAATCCAAGTGGGAAAGTGTGCTAGTGCACAAAATAATTTTTAGTACCGATAAGGGGAGGGGGGGGGGGGG